GCGTACACCAACGTCCAGCTTCTCATGTACGCTCCACCATGGGTTGCTACCCCACTTACGCTCCCGAGTAGACCTATCTGCCGAAAGTTTGGCCAACAATTCCTTCCTGCTTTGTACTCGCCTCTCTCCAATCGAAAAGAATGCATCGTGCGTGCCGCACATCTAGCTCCGCAGTTTTTTGCGTGGTTGGTCCGGTCGTTCAGCTTGCTCGACGTGAGTAATAAGTTTTGCTTTGATGGCTCTATGTGTTATCGATCCACTTCAAGCAACGAACCCCCCCCCCCCCTCCACCGTCCGATCCATTTTGGACCTCACGCCGGAGAGTTTTGGGGTGTCTGAGCTCTAAGTCCTCCACCGCCCAATGGGGGACTTAAGTATTTCTTTTAATGCCGTACCAATAGGTATCGACCTCAAGGTAAGCTTGTGCTTACTTTGGACTGTAGGTAGAGAGTGGGGGGGGCGCATGGCCTCTATTTTTCAGGGGGAGTTCGGGTACTGGTTGGGGGTCGGGTCTATGTGTACTGCATGCTCGAATTGTCCCCTCACCATAGCTACTGTGGATTTTCAGTATACAGGTATCATTACTCAACACGTTTATGTGTCCGGCAATCTCCAATACAAATTAATCTGTGAGGTTTCAGTATGCAGCTTTAGTCACTCAATCGTCTATGTGTTCGGCAGTCGCAAACGTCCCTCAACCCGTTAGGTCTCAACATGCAGCTATCCTCACTCAAAGTGTGTCTGGCACTATGCAACATCACTCAACTCGTGAGGTTTCAGTATGTAGCTATCCCCACGCAGCGCGATGACGTGTCTGGCAAACTCAATAACCAATCCATCTGTGGGGTTTCAGTATGCAGCTATCCTCACTCAAAGTGTGTCTGGCACTATGCAACATCACTCAACTCGTGAGGTTTCAGTATGTAGCTATCCCCACGCAGCGCGATGACGTGTCTGGCAAACTCAATAACCAATCCATCTGTGGGGTTTCAGTATGCAGCTATCCTCACTCAACACGTCTAGGTGTCTGGCATTCTCCAATACATATCACCTGTGGTGTTCAGTATGTAGCTATCCTCACTCTACACGTCCATGTGTCCAGCAATCTCCAATGCAAATCACCTGAGGGTTCAGTATATGTCTATCCTCACTCAAAGCGTCCATGTGTTCGGCACTATCCAACATCACTCAACTCGGGAGGTTTCAGTATGCAGCTATCCCCCCTCCAAGTGTCTATGTATCCGGCACTATCCAACATCGCTCAACTCGTCAGGTTTCAGTATGTAGCTATCCCCACGCAGCACGTCTGTGTCTGGCAAACTCAAAAACCAATCCATCTGTGAGGTTTCAGTATGCAGCTATCCTCACTCAACACGTCTAGGTGTCTGGCAATCTCCAATAAATATCACCTGTGAGGTTTCAGTACGTAGCTATCTTCACTAAACACGTCTAGACTATGTGTCCGGCAATCTCCAATGCAAATCACCTGTGAGGTTTCAGTATGTATCTATCCTCACTCAAAGCGTCGATGTGTCCGGCACTATCACATCATTGAACTCGTGAGGTTCAGTATGTAGCTATCCTCACTCAGCGCGTCTATGTGTCTGGCAAACTAAAAAAACAATCCATTTGTGAGGTTCCAGTATGCAGCTATCCCCACTCAACGCGTCTATGTGTCTGGCAAACTCGAAAACCAATGCATCTGTGAGGTTTTAGTATGCAGCAATCCTCACTCAACACTTCTATGTGTCCGGCAATCTCCATCACAAATCACCTGTGAGGTTCAGTATGTGTCTATCCTCACTCAACGCGTCCATGTGTCCGGCACTATCCAAAATAACTCAACCCGTGGGGTTTCAGTATGCAGCTATCCCCACTCAACCCGTCCATGTGTCTGGCAATCTCATGTTCGTATATGTCCTTTACTTGAAAGGGGACGACGTTTTATCTCTTGTATTAGACACGCAAGGGGGGTAGGGAGAAGTGAAGCCCTCTTTGGAGTTCGAGGGGTCCCCGCACATGCAACCATTTCAAGGTGTACATATGCCCCATCTGCGAGCCCTCTGTTGTTGCCGGTAGATCTAACCAGTCCGTATCCAAACACACGAACACCCTCCCCGGTTTGCACGCGAATGGCAAACCAAACGTGGGGCATGGCTACCCCTGATCTAACAAAAGGACTCAAAACAACAACAGGCTCGAGGGAAAACCCGGCCAACCGGATCAAAAACCCTCGTCTAACACCCTAAATATAGAAAACCGTCGCTATCACGGAGGATTCCAACGGCCGCACTTCCAACACAAGACCAAGGCAGGACAGATTGAACCGGTCACGCTGATTACACACCCGAGGCAACGCTCTCGGCGTTTCTAGGCTCCAGCCGCGGGTGACGCGCCGGCACAACGTTTCCTTTATGACGTACCATGGTCATATATGTCAAGCGCTAAAACCACCACATAAACCAAACAGAAGAAAAGAGCACTACGTCGGTAGGTTCATCAGAGCCTTCCGGTGGTACTCTAACTTCTCTCTGCCAAGGACCTTGGTCAGCATGTCGGCGTGCTGCTCTCCAGTCGGAAGATACTCTGCAGTGATCTTGCCCGACTTGAATAGCTCGCGAATGAAATGGAAGCGCACGTCGTTGTGCTTGCTCGTCGCTGAGCTGAACGGGTTCTCGATTAAGGCGAGAGCCCCCTTGTTGTCCTCAAGGACCTTGATCNCGCTATGAACGACAGAACGCCACGCACAAACAACGCCTCCTTCACGCCCTCCCCGGCTGCCATAAACTCTGCTTCCAAGGTCGACTGAGCCGTCACTGGCTGCGTCTTGGTGGAAGCACACACTACGGTACCACCCACGGTCACAGCTAGCCCGGTGGTAGAACGCCTGTCTACTTCGTTGTCAGCGTAGCTGGCATCGACAAGCACGCTTAGGTCTAGTCCTGACCCCCGTACGTAGGTAATGCCGAAGTCCTTCGTGAAGTTCAGGTAGGACATGAGCCGCACAAGCGCGTTCCATATCCTCCCGGCGGGTGAGTGGGCGATCTTCTGGAGCTTGTTCAGAGGCAGGGCGATGTCTGGCCTCGTCAGCCTCGTCCACATCAGGCATCCGATCGCCTGCCTCACAGGCTTATCCACCGCGGGCTCGTCATCTCTCTTCGGCCCTAGGTCGGCATCGGTGGCAGCAGGGGTGAATGCGGTCGTGGTCTCATCAAACCGCTTCAGCGTTCTCTCAATGTATGCTGTCTGGGACAGCTTGGTGATGCCATTTTCTACACGATAGCACACCCGTCGCACCAGGTACACTCCCCCAAATCTTTCACCGGAACCTTCTTGTTGGGGGAAGCGAACAACTCCTCTCGCTCTCCCTCGTCTGCCGCCACTAAGATGTCATCAACGTAGATCACGATGAGACCTACGACCTCTCCATCCACCACCTTCCGGAAGACACACGGGTCAACCCTGCACTGCTCGTATCCATTCTCGATGAGGGCATCGGCAGCTTCAAACCCCCACTCACGGCCACTCTGCTTTAGGCCATACAGGGCACGCTCAACCTTGACCACCTTACCGGACATGCTACCACAGCCTTTCGGGAACCTGAGGTATATTTCTTCTTTAAGCTTAGCGTGAATGTACGCTTGCTTCACATCCCAGCGAGTCTCTTGCCCTTTCTAGTGGCTACGGCAATCACCGTCTTGATAGACGCTGCAGACGGGCACGCTGAGGATGAGTGGTGGAAGTCGATGCCGGGGATTTGAGAGAAACCCCGCGCAACCATACGGGCCTTGAAGTCGACTATCAGGCCCTTCTCATTCGTCTTCCAAGAGAACACCCACTTTGAACCTATGGCCTTCCGCCCCTCGGGCAGCTCCTTGACCTTGGTAAAGGTTCCAGTCTTGTCGTGGCCATCTATCTCTTTCCTCATGGCCGCCTCCCAGAAAACCTTGTACTTGGAACACCTCACATCCTTGTACGTCGTCGGTAGTGCTTCCACATCACTCGGTTTCTGCCCGATTGGCGAGGTCATACTTAGCTGTGGGTCTGGGAGTGGTTGCGAAGACCCGCTGGCGTCGACCTAGGCCCCGAACGCCTGCTGTTCCGGGCCCAACACCTCCTGCATCTCGCGCCTGCACATCGCCTCCATACGGCATGTTTGCTCCTCGTCCCACTGCTCCTTCACAAGCGAGTTGCAGATGTAGTCCTCAATAATCCCCGTCCCGCCAGTTTCCAGGATGGTCGCCAGCAGTGCCTCTTCCGGGTCCGGTGTTTCTCCGGGCCCCGGCATCTCCCCGGCACCTTGCATCTCCCGGGACTGCTTCCGCGTACGGCCACTCTCAAGCCATGGCGCAGCGGGCCAGCGTTCGAGGCGCCCCAGAGGAGTTTCTTCCCTTCTAGCCCGCGGGGGTGGCGGTCGTCGACTGGATAATACTTCAACTCCTCGAGGTTCTCGGTNCGGTGTTTCTCCGGGCCCCGGCATCTCCCCGGCACCTTGCATCTCCCGGGACTGCTTCCGCGTACGGCCACTCTCAAGCCATGGCGCAGCGGGCCAGCGTTCGAGGCGCCCCAGAGGAGTTTCTTCCCTTCTAGCCCGCGGGGGTGGCGGTCGTCGACTGGATAATACTTCAACTCCTCGAGGTTCTCGGTGTCGCCGGGATCACCACCGCTACCGCCGTCCCCACCTGGGTCGCCGGGCTCTTCGCCGGCCGGGCCGCCGGCACCGCCAGGGTCACTGCTGCTGCTGCTGCTGCTGTCGGTGGGGCTGTCGCTGCCTCCGCCGAAGTCGTCCCTTCCCGGAGGGAGCGACGGGGGAACGCTGCCTCCGTCCCCCGGAATCCCGTTGCCGGGTGCCNCCCCTTCCCGAAGGGGGCGACGGGGGAACGCTGCCTCCGTCCCCCGGAATCCCGTTGCCGGGTGCCGTCGGCGCCTCCTCGCGCACAAACGGCGTCGCTTGCCCTGGCCCACGAGCCTCCATCACGTCGAGGTCGGACTCACTCTCTGAGTCTCTCTCTCCCCCCCAACCTTGGCGTGATGCATCCGCTCTGCTCTTGCTCTCCCCGCCTTCCTCGACATCTGCGAGAGGTAGCAGCTGCGGGGGAGCCGGCGATGCAGCGGGCACGTGGCGCCAGGTGAAATTGCGGGTGGTGATTACGGTTCCAGCTTCGGTTAGCATGCCAACGCAGTCACGGGGGTGATTGTGGGCAGGACCAAGGTACCATCCTTTTTCGCCCTTGGTTTGTGAGTTTGCTTTCTTGTCGACATGAACACGGCTGGCTTGAGAAACGCGTATGTACACCCGACAGGCGGTGGGGAGTCGTAGAACATCTCGTAGGCGGATTTGTCTCCCTCGTTTGATTTGGTGGCGGTGCAGTTCAGCTGATGGCATGCACACGAAATGGCCTCGGCCCACAACCCGGGGTGGTTCGGTGCGTCGGGGAAAAGTTGCGTCGCTTGGATGCGTGACGCAAGCGCGGCATCAGTGATCAATCCTAGCGCTCTCTCCGCTACACCGTTGTACTTTGGGGTGTGAGGGGGTNTGCTTCAAGAAGAAAACACGCGTCCAACGGGAGAAATCGTCTCTGATGATAGTGTGTACCAGTTGCCACCAATGCTCCTGGATTTCATCTTTCCCCCTAAGTCGAGATACACACGAAATAACTTCTCAACTGCGCATGTGCTCGTGCTCTTCTGGACGGGTTTCATCTGTCCCTTGGACATCGAACAGCCAAGACAGGGTAGCAGCGGTGCATCCGTCAGCTGCACTCCCTGCTGCTCC